TGATCAAATATTTTCCACTAGCATATATGTAAATCTTTTCTTTCTTTCCATAACTGTATTTATTTGGTTTAGAATATAAAATTCCTCCACGCCCTAATTCACATCCATTTATTTCTATTATTTTATATTCACCGTCTAAAGGTAATTCTAAAAGTGGTAAATTTTTAACTTCTTTTATCTTTTTAACTAACTCTATATATGACCGATTAGAATATTTTTGTCTTTTGCAAGTACCTGGCTATATAGTTGTCCTACTTTCTTTCCTAAATCATTAATAAAATGTATGGCATAATTTAAAATTCTTAAAAAAACTTGTAATTTTTTTAACTTCTACTATTTTATTTGGAAACTGCAGAATTGTCTGTACTATTTGTGGGTGTAATTGAATCTTTTTTTCTCCTAAAATTATTCATAGGAATTCAATTTTTTGTTTATTTATGTCCATTTTCATTTTACTTATAATTAAACAATTTTGTATAAATTTATTTCTAAATGTTTCATATATATTTTTTATCTTTACTATGTAATAAAATATCATCTATATATACACAAACAAAAGGAAAAGAATTAAATATACAATCCATCTTTCTTTGAAAAATAGAAAGTGCATTTTTTAATTTGAAATGCATGACTAATCATTCAAAATGTTATAATGGTGTGGTAAAAGTTATTCAAAGAATGGAGTCTTTTGCCATTTTTATTTGTCAAAACCCAGATTTACGATCAAAATTTGAAAATATTTTACTTTGTCGAACTTTATTTATTAACATGTCCTTATTTGATATTTTATATCTGTCCTCCATAGTAATATGATTTAATCTTTTGTAGTTTATGACCATTCTTGCACTATCCCTTTTGATTTCACTATAATTCCTAACTATAAAAATGGTTGATCTATATTGATTGTTAGAGGGTCTTATTATTTTTAAACTGAATAATTCTTTAATTTGTATATAAAAATTTTCTCTGTCTTGATTTGTGTGCTTGATTTCTACTGTTCTAATTTTTATATTTTCGTTTATGATTTCTAATCTAGCTTCTATCTTATTTTTGTCCTAATGCTTTATAGGGTCTTTTCCAATTTTTTCAATTTTTTTGACTAATTCTAAAATTGATTTAAGACCTTCAAAATTTAAAGACCGATCTTCTAACACGCTCTGAAAGGGGCTATACCTGACAATGTCCCAAAGTTGAAAGCCCAGTTTGCAAACCACATAACATCACTTATCAATTAAGAAGCCAATAGGGCATCCCATGTTTTATAAGATCAGTCACTCGTGCATTTTCAGAATTCGGTAAATGTTCTTATTTTTATTTTTAATCGAATGAAATCGTGCCTTACTATTATTTAAAAAAAAAAAGGTTTAGTGGTTGATTGAAATAAAAGTTCACAAATTGGGGGTTGTTTTTGTATTATTGCAAAGAATTGGCCCCAAATAAGAAATTTACACCATAGACCTCCAAACAAATAGCAACTTACCTTTTGTTCCACCCGATCGATTTCCCAAATCACTTTCGCTTCACAACAGAAAACACAGGAGAAATCTATTTTCTGCACTGAATTTCCCTTGGCATCGGGAAAAAATGGCTAGCTCTCTGCAACGTCTGGAATGATAATTCCTTTGTCTTTAGGTATTTTCTACTTTTTGAATTATTGTGTTAGTTGTCCATCATCTCTATATAGGCTTCTTCTAGATTGCATCTATTTAATTGGTTTTGCAATCTGATATGTATTCTTCTTCCTCTGTGTTTGATTGGTTTTCTGATAATTCATCATTTGTTTCTTGAAAATCCATCGGATACAATTCTTTTTGCTAAAAGTTGAAGGCTGCAAATCTTCTTGTTTTAATTTTTACAGCAAGATGTTTTTGACAGAAGACAACTCCATTATTCCATTGTGTTATAAGTTTGGACTCGCTATTTTGAATTTCTATCATTGCTACTGTCTCTAAAATTTGTCTTTCATAATCAATCTGTCTAGTTCTTATTTTGGTATTTATCTTTGAAGATGGTCTAAATTTTTTGGCTCCTTTATATATCATAATATAACGATAAATTGGTAGTACTATACCATTATTTATAAAAGGTGGTCTGGAAATGAATTGGATCATTAAAGGATGATCTTTTAACTGATCAATGGTCTATTTGAATTTGGGTGGAAAGTATCTGAAAGATCTGTTTAAAATATATATAGTGTCTATCACACCAAACTGTAAAGTTGGGTAAAAAAGGACTTCTTTTTCAAAGATTGCATAATCAAAAGAAATTAGGATAATTATGTTTAAGAAATGCTGAATTTTTAATGGATGATTCATATTTAGGGTCGCGCTTAAGAAGAAGTCCATTCTCGTTGTGATAGTAACTTAGAACTTGAGAAAAATCGATTATTTCCTGTAGTACTGATTTCTTTATAGAATCTCGAAAAACGCTGGCACAATCACCAATTTTTTGTTCTAATTCATATAAAGTTTTATCTTGCCCTACAACTCTAGAATCCGTTAATTCAATAAGTCTTTCTATTCTGTCAGAATAATTTCTACTTGTAAAAGTAATATCTTTAAAAACGGGTCTTTCAACAACACTTTTAGAACTAAGTCTTATCGAACTGTTTTGTAACTAAAGAATTTCATTTTGATGAAGAGATTTCGTCTTCAAGATTGTGTAATCTTTCTTCTAACGAATGCTTTTTACGATTTAGATTTCTAACAATTTTGGTCATAGTTTCGCAACTATCACAAAGTTGTATCGACAAGGATGAAGATGATGGTTGAGAAGAGGAGGCTTGTGTAGTCATAGTCTGTTTAACTCTTTCAGATATGTAAAAATTAAATCCTATCATTTTTCCGCAGAAATTTAAAGTTTCTTCTAATGTATAAAATCCTTTGAGGGAGGGGGTCTGAAAATCTTTCTACTTATTGTAATACTTCTGTCCAATAATTATATAAACAAAGCTTTCTACCTTTGATTATTGCAAAGAAATTAAAATTTCTACTTTCTACTTGATTGTTAATTTATCTAAAATGATTGGCTAAAACATTAATGTTGTCTAGTTTTTGTTTAGAGTCTCGTGCCATCCAAGGATTATCCAATAGACAATGCTCCTTTGTTGGAAGTCTTTTTAAATTATTTCCTCTGAATCGAAGATTAGATCCTCGTGGGGCCATTTTTAGTGTGACATTCCCAAAGTTTATTATCCTCTTATCCATTTGAGTCATGAAAATAATTTGTTAGAAAACTAATAATTTGTCTACTTAAATTATCCACTAAAATATTATTTTGTACGTCTATATGTTCTATATTAATTTTACAGCTTTTCAATATTTTATGTAGCCATATTTTATATCTTATTTTATCAAAATTTGTCTTTTTTTATCTGTTCTAATAGTAAATTCAGTATTTAGAAATAGCTTAAAGTTTTCTATACCATGATTAATAGCCATTATTTTATAATTTAGACTGGTCAAATATTTTCCACTAGCATATATGTAAATCTTTTCTTTCTTTCCATAACTATATTTATTTGGTTCTATTATTTTATATTCACCGTCTAAAGATAATTCTAAAAGTGGTAAATTTTTAACTTCTTTTATCTTTTTAACTAACTCTATATATGACCGATTAGAATATTTTTGTCCTTTGCAAGTACCTGGCTATATAGTTGTCCTACTTTCTTTCCTAAATCATTAATAAAATGTCTAACATTTAAAATTCTTAAAAAACTTGTAAATTTTTTTAACTTCTACTATTTTATTTGGAAACTACAGAATTGTCTGTGCTATATGTGGGTGTAATTGAATCTTTTTTTCTCCTAAAATTATTCATAGGAATTCAATTTTTTGTTTTTTTATGTCCATTTTCTTTTTACTTATAATTAAACAATTTTCTATAAATTTATTTCTAAATGTTTCATATATTTTTTTTTATCTTTACTATGTACTAAAATATCATCTATATATACACAAACAAAAGGAAAAGAATTAAATATACAATCCATCTTTCTTTGAAAAATAGAGAGTGCATTTTTTTAATTCGAAAGGTATGACTAATCATTCAAAATGTTATAATGGTGTGATAAAAGTTATTCAAAGAATAGAGTCTTTTGCCATTTTTATTTGTCAAAACCCAGATTTATAATCAAAATTTGAAAATATTTTAGTTTGTTGAACTTTATTTATTAACATGTCCTTATTTGATATTTTATATCTGTCCTCTATAGTAATTTCATTTAATCTTTTGTAGTTTATGACCATTCTTGCACTATTCCTTTTGATTTCACTATAATTCCTAACGATAAAAATGGTTGATCTATATTGATTGCTAGAGGTTCTTATGATTTTTAAACTGAATAATTCTTTAATTTGTATATAAAAATTTTCTCAGTCTTGATTTGTGTGCTTGATTTCTACTGTTCTAATTTTTATATTTTCGTTTATGATTTCTAATCTAGCTTCTATCTTATTTTTGTCCTAATGCTTTATAGGGTCTTTTCCAATTTTTTGAATTTTTTTGACTAATTCTAAAATTGATTTAAGACCTTCAAAATTTAAAGACCAATCTTCTAACACACTCTGAAAGGGGCTATACCTGACAATGTCCCAAAGTTGAAAGCCCAGTTTGCAAACCACATAACATCACTTATCATTAAAGAAGCCAATAGGGCATCCCATGTTTTATCAGATCAGTCACTCGTGCATTTTCAGAATTCGGTAAATGTTCTTATTTTTATTTTTAATCGAATGAAATCGTGCCTTATTATTATTATTAAAAAAAAAAAAAAAGGTTTAGGGGTTGATTGAAATAAAAGTCACAAATTGGGGGTTGTTTTTGTATTATTGCAAAGAATTGGCCCCAAATAAGAAATTTACACCATAGACCTCCAAACAAATAGCAACTTAGCTTTTGTTCCACCCGATCGATTTCCCAAATCACTTTCGCTTCACAACAGAAAACACAGGAGAAATCTATTTTCTGCACTGAATTTCCCTTGGCATCGGGAAAAAATGGCTAGCTCTCTGCAACGTCTGGCGAGCCACTCTCGCGTAGCCTACCGATTTACCATCACTCCATTTTCGAGAGCATTCTCTACAGAAGACGCGTTGGTCGAAATTAAACCCGGCGAGGTCGGCTTGGTATCTGGTATTCCCGAAGAACACCTTCGCCGAAAGGTATGTATTTCATCGGATGATGTGTTCAATTGTTTTTTTATTTTATTTTATCTCTATATGGATTAAGTTTCCCCATGTTTTGTCCATCACTCTGATGCTGTTAACTATTTTGAAGTAATTTTATATTTAGTTTATATATGTGGGTATTTAGGGTCTCCATATGATTAAGCAGTAGTTTATGTTGCAGGTTTTCTGTAAAGTTGATAGTAGTTTCTAATTGTAAGCGTGTTTTGCGTCATTTTTAATTAACATTATTCACTGTATGAAATTGTTGTTTTCCCAATTATCTGCCTCGAATTAGAATTAGTGCACCACAGAACGGCTATGGATGATATGTTATCACTTCCCTTTCTTCCAATGCTTTTATAAAAAAATATTTTGACACCCCATATGTTCTATTTGAGATTTCAATCGCGTATTATTCTTAGCAAAGCATTATCTATTTTGCGTTAGGTTTTGATTTATTCCCCTGCTCGAACTGCTAGCCAACAAGGATCAGGAAAGGTTGGGAGGTGGAAAATCAATTTCATGTCCACGCAGAAGTATGTCTCTATCACGTGCTGCCCATTTATGTTTCTTTAGTTTCGTATTGGTGCATTGGACTTTAGCAGTATAGTTTGATTGACTTTAGATGTTTTGATCTATTTGTGAATGTATACTTCCAAAACCACCCTTGGCTGAATTGACATTGCAGTTCACCATTGTTAAACCAAAGAAAACAAATCTAAACCGGGTCACTTAGTAGCTGTGATAGCAAATAAGCTGATCTTCCATTTTAAAGTTGGGCCTTTTTGGCAGTTCTAAGCTAAAAAGATAGTATTTCTGCAGGCTAGGTTTTTACTTCTAATCTAATATTGATATCATAGCTTAAATACACTCGCCCACCCCACTCCATTGTTCTAACATACACCATCTGGCATTGTTTTAATGCTGTTATGCCGTTTGAAGTTTAAGACACTAGGTCTCCTATTTGCGAACTTATAAATCGTTTATAAATGGTCAAACTTTATTTTCAACCACACGTTCCAATGCATTCTCAAGTAGTATATACTTATCCACCACTCATTTGTATTTATTTATAAATTATACCAAATCTTGAGGGGTTGCTCAATTGGTTGGCCTTGGGTTTGCTCCTCAATGATAATCAGTTTGAGTCCCTTCATAGTCACTGAGGTGAGTACCATGCCGTAAACTTCAGGGTCCCGTGGGAGTCTTCTCATTTTTTTCTTCAATCCTCTTTCTTTGGTTTGATTTAGACTGACACAGGATACAATGAGATAGATATTTTTCAGATCCATCATCCCAAGCCATTGCTGCAATGCAACCAATAGTTAATGATATGTACACATATATTTCGGGATAAAATTTTGGTTTTGGTTGTTCTATTTTACCAATAAACGCAATGTGTATAAATAAAGATATTTCTGCATGCACAATGGTGCTTGCCTGCTTTGTATTATCATCACTATGAGTTGTAGAAGTTATAGAAGGTAATTGCTAGAAGAAATGTTACTCTTCTTTCCTCCAGATCAAAAAATGGATCGCTGCTCCATTCTGGCTGGCCTCCATTATTTCTCACTTTTCTTAAAGCAATTTTTGTGAGTGTTTGGTGGGGATTAAAATCAGATTTTTAGTAGATTGTGATAGAAGTTTTTGAAATGTGTGGTTGAAAAACTGTGGGATCATGAAAGATGTGGTTAATATTGACCGTTTGTCTTTGACTTATATTAAAATCTGATTTTAATCCGAAACAAACAGGGCTTTTCTATTTTTCTCCCACAATTTTCATGGTTGAATATCAAATCAGGAACTCTATTGCATATTCAATTTATTACCCTTATTACCATGGTTATACAGTAAGTATTTATTGTTTCTGACATGTAGATGGGAAAATCCGTTGATGGGTTGGACATCTACAGGAGACCCAATGCCAATGTTGGTGATTCTGCACTAAGTTTTGACAGTGAAGAAGCAGCAATAGCATTTGCCAAAAAGCATGGTTGGGATTACAAGGTAGGACTATTTTTATTCTGTTCTCTTGCTGACAAAGTTGTCCAATTTTTTATCATTACTGCCTGGAACCTTTTTCCGAGGGGAAATTGTATCTTCAGCGTGTTGTTTATTTTGAATTGGATTTCTTTTTTTGGTTTAGGTGAACAAATAGGGATATAGTCTGAAATTCTGTATAGATTGATTACTGTGGCGATTCATGAAGTAACCAAAATAAAGACGCCATCCTTATTGTCGTGTGAACAGCTGAGTTTTTTGGCCTTTTTTCCTTTTGTCTGTTATATTCATAATCAAGCAAGAGCGGTTGATTGGAAGCATATTTCCCTATCACGATCATTATGGGATGCGTCTGTTTCAATTTACCAGTTCATAATTATATATCACTTCTGTCTTGCAGGTTAAGAAGCGCCAAACACCACTATTGAAGGTACGAGGTTCTACTTCAATCGACTTGAGCGATATTGGCATGAATCTCTGGAGCGATTGTGCTTCAGTATATGTGCTACCTGTGACTATGAACCAATCATGTCATCACATTCCTTAATAGCACATATTTATTCCCCACTCCCAACCCTAAGATGCACACTGCAAGCATGCATAAACACCCACTGGCCACTGCTAGCTGAAAATTAATCAAGTTCCATAGTACACTGTTAATTTCCTGATGTTAAATGGAGAAGTTCATGTTGCTTTAACACTAAATCTAGATCACAATCAGGAATGGTCATCTTGCTGCATAACAATGGGGATCCTGCACTTATTTACTTAACGATCAGCAAATGAATGATTCTTTTCCTCTTTAATTGGAAGAGAAAGGGGACTATTGATTTATCCCTTTGAATTGTTGTGTCAGGCCAAGTCATACGCAGACAACTTCAAATGGAAGGGTCCACCCAAGGAGAACTGAATTTCTCTGTTTTTTTTTTCTTTTTGAGTTGGTCGGAGGCAGATGAGAGGACCAGAAGAAGCCCCATGGCATCCTCTATCAAGCTTTAGTGGTGTTATGTCTACAAGATAAAGCGTCCCTAATCATGTCTTCTTGCATTTTAACAGTAAAGTGAACTTTGGCGATCTTTTAAATTTATTTCACTCCTGAATATTGCAATTCACTGGCTCGTGTTCTCTCATTGCACCGTGTTGTACCGAATTCTCACATATTCAGGGTTTAAGATCTATTCAGTGTGTGGCAAATGTTTAATAATCCTTTTTAGTGTCCTATACATTTTAGCCAATGTGATATCGAATGACGTTCAGGTTGGGATATTGCCCTATTTGTTAAAATGGATGAACTAAAGGGAGAGGAGGGAACTGAGAAAGAAAAGGGTACACAAGAATTGACAGAAATTTATCTACTTTCGAGAAGCTGCAAATTATGAAGCCTCTTCGGTCTGCTTTCAGACAGTTTCAATGCCTCTAGATTCTTGTTGAATTTCACGTTCATCCATTCAGGTGAGGAGGCACGGCGGGGGTGAGGAGGGATGACTGTCTACACATTAATCTGGCCCTAATGTGACTTCCTATTATCAAAACTAGTTACGCTAATTAGTAAAATTTACCATTAATTTCATTAAGTTTAACGGCGCATATATTTATTCG